AAAATAGCCCATTTTAGATCTTAGAGAAACTTAGGAGTCGTTTACCAACACAAACTAAGTAAGCATTAACGGGATAAGAGTGTGGTATGAGTTGTTACTAATCACTAATCGTGTAAGAGTACGGTTTGGGTTGGCACTAACCACTTAGAGCATCTCAAAGAGATTCTCCAAAAAGTTCTCCAAAATGGAGAACCGAAGTTCAAAAACTCTAAAAAAGTTGCATTCAACTTCCAATAGATTCTCCATTTTGGGGATTACATCATTAATTATATTATTAAAACATTGCATACATTTAATTAAATATTATTTTTCTCTTATAAACATTTCATTTCAATGTTACCTATTGGTAGAATATAATAAAAGGCCATTTGTCTCTCATGGTAATAATTTTTGGAGAAATTTAAACTCCCTCTTCTACTTTCTCCATTTTGGAGAATCTCTTGGAGCAAAACATTGACCCAAATCTCCATTTTCTCCATTTTGGAGAGTTTTTTTGGAAAATGCTCTGGCCGACTAAGAGTCTCTCCCTTAGTTTACCAGGTCGGCATCATGAACCAGCAAGAGGGGCTTGGTAAGCACCTTGCACCTCTTACCGGTAAGCAGATGTTAGTGGCTTACATCAATATATATTAGAACCCTCTCTCTCTCTCCTCGAGGGCTCTTTTAGAGAGTAATATAGGAGGGTTCCACATATTCTCATGCTGAGTAGATTAGAACCCGTGTAGTACCTTTTTACGGGAGAGGGGGGAGGGTGTGAATACGTACCGGCCTTTGCTCAAAAGGGACCTCAATTTCCAGGCCAGGTTCCCAACTCTGGCCAGGTAAGTTGCTGAATCTTCCATCCATCTCATCTTTTAGAGCCATGCTAGTAATAAACCTTTGAGATGAACCCGGATTCCATTTTCGTGCATTGAATGGAGAAATCCTCCGGTGATCCTTGACTTTTTGACTTGGACATGAAAGTAAAGAGCAATAAACATTTAGCCTGATCATTTACTTTCAACAAGTCCAGGAGATAAACAACCTGCAAATGGGAAGTTAAGAGATGTTATTGGAATGGTTCAATAAGTCTTGGGGACCATGGGATTATATTAAGTGGTGAGGGAATTTCTATTTGCAGATAAATTGTTTTGTTTTCTTTTTTTGAGTTTGGTTGCCTCAGGACACGTGGCCCCTTAACAGCTTCAAACTCAATGAGTAGGGAAAATTATAACTTTTTCTTTTTGGGTTAAAAAAGTGAGAGAATAATGAATGCTTCTTTCTTAGTTTGTATTTGGTTTGTAAAATGATTTCTGAAAGAATGAAATATGTCAAAAGGAATTGGAATTTGAATGAAATTGGAATGAAATGTTATCAGGTTTGATCAAGTGTTTGGTTGATAGGAATGAAATGTAATCTGTCTAATAAATTGAAATCTGTCTGTTTGGTTTGCAACATAATTATAATTTATAAATGAATAAACCATCGAATCTGTACTAGTTGGTTAATATAACTTTTGTTGGGTCTAAATGTAAGTAATCAATTTTTAAAAGTGTGATAGTTTATTTAATAAAAATAATAATTAGGAATTTAATCAATCAAAATGAAAAGGTTTAATGGTTTTTTCATTTAAAAAGAGAAAATCTAACAGTTTTTTATTTAAAAAAATAGTTATAAGAACTTAATCATTCAAAATAAGAAAGTTTAATAGTTTTTTCATTTAAAAAAATAGTTCAGAAATTTAATCATTAAAAATGGAATAATTTATTAGGTTTTTTTAACTTTTCCCTTAAAAATATATCATTTAAAATAAAAGATTAGGTAGTTTTATAATTAATAGTTTTTCTAAAAACTTTAATGTAAAATTTGTAAATAAGTTTGGACAACAAGTTTGTGGTTTGCGGTGGAGTGTGGCAATTGTTTCCTGTCGTGCGCATTTCCCGTGTACCCCAAGAATTGCCCGCGTCGGACAACAATTTTGTTGCTTCCGTCCACCGAACTGTATCATGTGATCAACAGTCTTCAATATTTGTTTTTTATTCTAGTGAATTACATTTTTCATCCCTGTGGTTTGTTAAAAGTTATGTTTTTTTATCCCTATAATTAAGAAATTACGATTTTTGTTCTTATAGTTTGTAATTTATTGTTATTTTTGTTCATATAGTTCACAATTTCTTGATGTTTCAATCCTTATGGTTTATAATTTTTTTACTGTTTGTTTTTTATTAACCTGGATATCTAACCCGCTATGCGAGCCGACTAATCTCAAGGGCGACCATCTGCTTTGCAGATAATCCGGAGCCACCGCATTTGAACCTCAATGCCCATAAGGGGATTTTTATTCCTCATTGGATTTGAACAATTCCAGGTACTTTTGACCTTTAAAGCCAAGTTTAAACCAATCAGGCACCACCCTTGTGATTAGAGGTAGGAATTTACTATTTTGGTCCCTTGTATTTAGAGGTAAGAATTTAGTCCAGGTAGAGATGGCCAAATTGGCCCGGCCCGGGACCGGGACCGGGACCGACAAAGGAGCGACCCGGGACCGGTAAGGACCGGTTATGGGGGCCGAAAACCGGGACCGGTTGAGGTTTTTGGTAGTTTCGTGGGACCGGGACCGACCGGGACCGGTTATGGGACCGACTATGGACCGTCCTGGCCTGGCCCCGAAAATTCAAATAATTTTATAAATAAATGTATTTTTAAATAATTTTATAATGTATTTTTATAACAAAACGTAATTTTAATTATATTAAAACGCATTTTTAAAGTGTAGTTGAGTGACTCAATTGTAAATTTTATAATGTATTAAAAATATATATCATAAAAAAAACAAAAAAAAATCTTATTTTTTAATGCAAGGACCGGGACCGGCGGCACATAACCGGTTATGAACTACCTTGACCGGTCCTATCATTTTCGACCGGGACCGGTTATGAGAAAGGTTAAGACCGATTGGGACCGGCCCGGCTCGGCCTGGGACCGGTTTTTTGCCATCTCTAAGTCCAGGTATGAAAATATCAACGAATTACAAATTATAACGACTAAAACTGTAATTTTTAAATCACAGGGATGAGAATGAAATTTTTTTTTTAACAAACCATGGGGACATAAATTGTAATTTACTCTTTTTCAGAAAACAATCTTTAACATCAAACATATTTGTTTGGTTGCACTGGAATTTTGATTTTATGCAATTAAATTTATAGGGTGTGAGCTTTATAGCCTATGGACGTGAAGTCTGGAATTAAAATGTACATAGACTTGACATTTATTTCAAAAAGTAAGAGATCGTTTACTAAATACTTATTTGGTAAGTGCTTAACGTATAAATTTCTTTATTGGATGAACATGAGAAGGGTCAAGAATCTCATCGGGTAATAGCGATGAGAAAAATAGAGAGTCTTACCTGGTAAGTGAGGATGACGACTATTACTCAGGTAAGCGCTTACCTACTAAATTGTTGCATTTGATATATTTTGATTTATTAAAATCTTATGTATCAAAATAAATTATAATGTTGACTTCTATTAGTAAACGTTTACCGAGTAAACATTTGGATAAACGGCTTTATTAAAGATATATAATTATATATTATGACTTTACAAAATCCATCACCATCATCCCATAAATATCCAATGAAAAATTGCAACAAGTCTTTTTGGGTAAGTTTTCATTTATTTTGCTATGGACATAATTAAATGAGAATTGTGAGAATTGATAAATCATGTATTGTTTCACATTATTGAAAAATACATTATTATTTCATAATGTGAAATGAAGTGAGTTAGATGGAAAAAAAAAAGCAACATGGATATTGGATAAAATACTTTATAAGACTTGAGTTTATAAAACTATCAAAAAAGGTCATATTTAAAAAGTGGCACAATAGATTTATAGAATGTTTTTAAACGTTTTAACAAGTTGTTTAGAACGTTTTTAAATTAAAGTGTCGTATTAATTATTTTTTATGGCAATATATTTGAAAATTTGTCTTATAAATATAAGTGTCCTAGTTTATAATGCACTACTCAAAAGTGTCTTATAGAAATAGCTAACAAGACACTTTATTTTAAAAACGTCATAAGAAGCTTGCTAAAATGGCTAAATGCGTTATATAAATCTATTGTAACACTTTTAGATAAGACACATTATAATTCGGTGCTATAAACTTATGTCCTATAAAACAATTTATTATAATGCTTAGACATTCTAAGCGTCCCAATTTTATTGTAGCGTATCTTTTGCGCTTAACCAATCCGAATCCGGCACACCTTAGAGCCGGTTCAACTGGTTCACAACCCTTAACTGGAGGAGTTGTTCACAATGTTTAACCGGTTCGTAGGTTTCTTGTTCCCGGTCTTAACCCGGTTCAACTAAAGGAGTTGTTGGCGCAAGTTCACAACGCTTAACCGGTTCGTCGGTTCCGTGAGCCGGTTCAACCGGTTCCTCAGGATTCCCAAGTGCATTCTTTTTATCATCCGGAATCGCCGGAGAGACTCGCTGTTGATCTTTGGGGTGGAGTTGTCGGAACCAGCTGAGCCGGAGAACGAAAATAACAGTTCTTGTGGGGTGAAAAGAAAAGGGTCTTCTTGGGTATTCCAATAGACTTGTACATATTCAGACGTTTGTCTTTCATCAGAGAACTGAAAGCTGTATATTTATTTAAAGCTTTTCTACACTCAACTCACAAATTCTTTCCATCATTACACTAATCTAAATTAAAAAGTTAAAAACTAAGACGAATTTCGCTACTGTTTAGTAACACCATAATCACTCTACACTTTAACTCCCGTGTTTTGGATACCGAACGGAACTAGTTTCATCCAAATCGCACCGACGTTGAACTTCCAACGGCATCTAAATCTTCAACCTTTAAATCTTTCTTTCCCAGATGAACAGGGAGACCAAAAATGGATCTGTTGTTGGAGTTGGTTGCATTCACTGTTTGTGGAAGTTTTGATGGGGAGACTGTTTGCCAGATTGCTTCAAGAGATGCATGCAACCAGCTGCAGATAACAACCCAATTGCACCAAATGCTATGATTGTTGAATTCGCAATGCTCCCATTGTAACCTCTCTGTCATACAACAAACCATTCAAACCAACCCAAACTAAATCAAACGAGAATCGGTGAATCATGTATTGTGTCATAATGTGAAACGAAGTGGGTTAGACAAATCTTTTTGTTTGATAACCTCAGACCAATCAATTGAATATTGATTAATACGTAATCGATCGGACACTACTTAAAAATGGCTCTTCTACTCGGAAACAAAATGTTCCTGGAAATTCGTGATCCCAATGAACCATTTCTATCCACATGCATCAAGTTTCACAAACACAAAAAGTAGTTTTTGTATCAATCTAAAGCCAGAAGTTTCACATTGTGAAACAAATATATATATATATCTATATAGGGGTGGGTTCAAATAAAAACCACTCAATTTGTAAAAACCGTGAAAACCTCATTCAACCAATCATAATTTTTCATTTTGTTCATTTTTTTGTAATTATGAGAGGTTGATTAACCAATTTTTATTGTGGAGGGTGTTAATCATGG